AATTTTGAAATTTTAATTAAACTTAATTTCATTAAGATTAATTAAACTTAATTAACACTAATCCCATGTGTAGCAAAGGTTGGTTAAAATCAGTTATAAAATGCCCAAAACACAAGTAGTTCTAAAGGCCAGCTCCTTCCTCAGAGCTCTGCCATAGTAAAAACTACAGTGATGCGTTTTTGTAGTTATAATTAGCTGCTTGGCCCTGCTGTGCTTCGTTGCTATGGCAATGGATCCTCTGCAACTGTCATGTGTGTGAGACAGAAAGAATTCTATCTTTGTGAGACAGCTCAGTCAGTTTTAATGGAAAAAGCAGCCCGAACAACTCCTTCCCATTCGGAAACCGTGATACGTATGGGAAAACCGTCAAAGATCAATATGATTATTGATCTTTGACAAAACTAATAACTATTTACTGTTAAATAGTTATTTACTGTAACTATTTAACAGTAAATAGTTATTTACAGTTAAATAGTTACAGTAAATAACTATTTACTTTTAAATAGTTACAGTAAATAACTATTTACTTTTAAATAGTTACAGTAAATAACTATTTACTTTTAAATAGTTACAGTAAATAACTATTTACTTTTAAATAGTTACAGTAAATAACTATTTAGTGCTAAATAGTTATTTACTGTAACTATTTAACACTAAATAGTTATTTACTGTAACTATTTAACACTAAATAGTTATTTACTGTAGCTATTTAACACTAAATAGTTATTTACTGTAACTATTTAGTTCTAAAGAGGTCAACTGTCATGTGTGTGAGGCAGAGACAGATTTCTATCTTTGTGAGACAGCTCAGTCAGTTTTAATGGAAAAAGCAGCCCCAACAACTCCTTGCAGTTCGGGAACCGTGATACGTATCGGAAAACCGTTTGAAGTGTATGAGAGGGCCATCTTTCGTCTCCGATAGTCCCGCGATTCATATCTGTACATCACTCACAGTAAGATGACATTGCTCTGGTCCATTGTTGTTTGTAAGGGTTTGACTGCTAAGAAATCTCCAGATGGACACCCAGAATTAAGCTTTTCATTTTCAGCACTCTCTGAGTGTGGGTGCTCAGATTTTTGGCAGCATTATAAATTTTGAGTGCGTTTCTGTGCCCTTCACAGAATTAGTTACACGGTGGGAGCATCTTCTACAGCTAAATTAGAAACCTGCTGTGTCTCAAGGCTCCTGGATGACTGAGGGGTTTTAAATTATTACTTACAAACAACAAGGGGCGGTCTAGCTAAACACTGACTGGCACTGGTGAGCCCCGGCTCTATGTTGGGTACACATAAACCTTTATGTCAGTCATTGTTTTTCTTCCCTGCCATCACACTGTCCTCGTTTATTTTGATTGACTTTGATTATTCCTTCCTCTAAAACAGAAACATTTTCGAGAACATTAAGCCGTTACTATTTATACAGATTTGACGGAAGTGCAGGACAGTGTTAACATGGAAATCAATGACCTAACAAGCTCCCGAATGTTCATGGAACCACTTGCTTGTGAGTGACAGCTTAATGATGTTTGGGAGTTAGAATGGATCACTTCTCAGTAACCCGGCAGCTGAAAATGAAAAGCCAACATTTTTTTTCATCTGTGAGATGTCATAATGCATTTGGCGTAGCCAGTGACACAGCCGGCTGGTTTTAGCTTCATTGTTAACAGAATTGATGCGCGAGAGCAATTAAATCCATGTGTTTAAAAACAAGGCTTAACAGACTTACCACATGGTAGTCTCACAAATCAGAACCAGGAATCCATTCTTTTTCTAGACAAAAAAAAAATCTCAAAGCTGTGAGCTTGGTAACAAGTTCGTCTCATTCTTTGACATTATTCAGAAATGGATAAACGGCCACTGAATGTACAGCTTGCCAACTATACCTTAACACTCATGTTACACAGCAATTCTCCCATTGTTTTTGTAAAGTGAGAAAAATTATTCAAAATGGCAACTAGGGATGGGAGATAAAATCTTCTTTTGGAGGCATTAAAAGGTGGATCTTATCTTAATGGTAATTTGTGACCTAAATTTGAGGAACCTAAAACGAGAACCAAGAACCACTCCACCAAAACAGTTTATAGTTAGTACATTCACTTACATTGCACTCCCTCTGCATCAAAACGAAACTGGCTTGGCCAAAGCTCCATCATAATAACTATGAGGACACATTTTATTGCAACAGCCAGAAGTTGTTGGGAATCAGGATTTTGTATTTCAGAGCTCTTTTTGGATATAACATCCCAGGTATTTAACTGAAACACCACAAACAAGGTCATAAAATTACAAGTATATAAGATAGCTTGTGATGCATCGACAGCTATTCCAATCACAGTGTTACAGTGACCACACTTGTGTGATGTGTGACAAACGAGAGCAGTGAAAGAAAGTCAGACAGGTATAAATATGAACGGTCTTTATAAAATGTAGCAGACAAACTGAAAATATCTAAAGATTTTGTTGTTGCAAGTGAACTCATTACTTTGTGAACAAGGTCAGCTGTTTGTCCAAAGCATTTTTTTATAGCTGCTTGTACTGGATTTTTAAATGTATTCTGTAACTGAACTTTTTATTTTATTTTTTGTCTGACTTATGAAATCTCTGTTTTTTTTCTTTGTTTTTGTTTTTTTCTTTATTCAGCTAAAATGTCTTGCCTGACAAATTATGATGTTGTGTGTAAGGTTTGTTTTGCGGGAAGAGTGGGCTTGTTATATTGATAATCAATTTAAATCACATCAGAACCGTCTGGATAATAAATTAAATAAATCACATTAAATGAAGTGACCAAAGATTTGATGCCTTAATGCTTCACCATTAAAATGTGAATATCAATATAATTAAAACAAAATAGAACACACAGCGGATTATTTTGTTTCCAACACCTTTACAACGAAAGTTAGAGAAAAAGTCTCATATTATCAAAAGGGAAGTACATTTAAGACTTTTCGCATTATCCAGAATGTCATTCAAGGACAGAGCAAAAACAAATAAATAAAAGACTTTACTCGCCTCAGTTGGCAGGTCAAATATTAAGCTTCCTGACTGCACAACAACGAAGGAACAAGGAAAGCTTGTTTTCTAGGGTTGACAGAGAGAAACCATTACTCACTGAAAAGAACAAGAAATGAAAAGACGGATTGAAGCACACCAAAAGAGTTTAATGTTTGAAAAAAACAAAACAAGTGGAAATGTTTGGCCATAATATAAGGTGATCAAAAACAAATCCAAAATAAAATTTTGACTGAACATATTTTTATCATTTTGCTGACGTTCAACTACGAGAAATTATTTTGGTAATAAACTGAGCTTAAAATGAAAAGCTGAGCCTCATTTAATGCCGGGCAGTGAAAAAAAGAAAAGTTATTTTAATAGAGTGTGAACATGTGTTTTCAATTGTGCAAAATTAACTTTTTTAATTTGGGTATTGAAATATATTGACTTTTTAAGAGACTTTTTAAATTATATGTCAATATTTTCAGGCTAAAAGTGAGATTGAGTTGAACTTCACTCTCTGTCAGTAAGCGTCTAAAGCCCATACTTTACTTTTTTCAATTTGGAGCAGTTTGAGTTTTTACGGCAAACAGCATCTTAAGTTTTATTTTTTTTAAAGACAATTTAAGCTCTGTCAAAAGATTCAAGTCTTGGCACAGTGGGATAAAGGTAATGACCCTTCACTACTGGCTATAACAACACATCTGTTGGCACTCATAGATTTTACTTAACGTAATGAAAGTGAGCAGAGATCAAGTGCATATTATACTGTTAATAATACCTCTGCCACTATCAAAGTCAACTCATGTGACGGTTATGCTTCAGAGTGCGGCACATCTCTTTAACATACCCAAAGCAGCCCATATACTTTCATCTTCTGAACTATCACCTCTCAGGTTGCCTCATTATGAGCCTTGATCTTTTATGCAGTCAGTGTAAAAACAGAAGCCTTGCGATGCTTTGATCTGTGGCATAAAAGCTCCCCAAGAACTGACAAGCATTTCAAGACGGAAAACAGTGCTGGATGTGTCACGTTACAGCAAAGCGTCGTTTGATATTTTGATGCATTTTTCACTGAGAAACAAAAAGAAAATATTGACCTCATCAAATATTGACTGGGATTCAGACGAGTGAGTCGCACAGCAGTGAAGCCATGCAACATGTTGTTCCTTCCTTTTTTGGGCTCCGTGAAGGCTTTTAACAAAACTGAAGGCCACATGGAAAAACGCAAGCTACTTCAATTGGACTATTATATTTCGAGCTTATGGGAGACCAGGAGTTACACTCTATATGTATTTGTATAACTTGCTTAAAGACATAATTGCACAACGTTTCCTCTTTCCCTCATCTCAGCTGGTCAAGCTGCTGTTTGAACTGTTAGCCATGGACTCAAACTGTCCTCAGATTGGGAGTTTTAAACTCCGAAGTGACTTCAAAAGCACAGCTTTCCTTTTTACCAACAAAGAACAGAATGCGATGATTCATTCCCTCTCTTTCTTCTTTCCCTTTTTGGACAGAATTTTAGCATAGCAGCGACACACACACACACACATACACATACACACCCCTCTCTATGTACCCATATGGCCATCAAAACATGCTGTGGAACAGAACACTTAGAAAAACACACTTCTATTTAATAGGCAGTCTTTGACTTCATATCTGTACAAAGAACTTCTCTAAAGGGCTTCAGAGGACCCTCAGTGAGCGTGATGAGGTTAACTCTTAATTGACCTTCTCTTTCCCTCTGCTTGTGACAGATTTTTACTTCCTCTTGCCACAGAAAAATTCCAAATTACCCCTCATTTCTTTACAGTCCCTTCCAGTATTCATTCCTCCTGCACCTCTTAACATTTTGTCACGCTGCAGTCACAAACTTAAACTTATTTTGTCGGATTTTTATGTGATAGATGAAACACAAATCAGAACATAATTCTGAAGCGGAAAATGGTACATGGCTTTCAAATGTTTTTTTTTTTTTGTTGTTGCTTTTTTTTCACACCGAAGTCTAAAAATATGGATTGCATTTATTGGCTCGATTTAATTGGATATTCCTAAATAAAATTTAGCAACTAGTCACTTCCAGACGTCCCCTAAGTCTATATGTAATTTATTTCCAGAATACATCCATCTCCTGCCTTATTTTGGCACTTATATAAGAGTACCCAAAGTGCAATGAGGCTGAGGCAGACATAGGATGGAAAAAAAAAATTAATACTCCCAAAAACATTTACATCTTCCACGGGAGATAACTGGGGAACACAAGAGGGCAGATCTAGGATCGAGACAAGGGTCCAGCAGTGAACAATGACACAGGTAATATGCGTTATTGTTAATTTAATCATTGATAGTTAGTTTAATGCTAGAGCTAGTGTAAGAAATGGATAAGTAATCAAAATACAAACTCATTAGAAACCCAAAACAACCCAGAGCCATGATGGATGGAGCATATGCCATCAATATTTTAAAAGTGGCAGACAAATCACCAGTCCACTATGTATTAATACAGGGTTCCAACAATGAAACCTTATTGACTTATTGACAGTCCATGCATTGTGATTCTTCCACAAGACAAACCAGTGTCCTAAAGAAAATTGAAAACATGAATTTTTGGTTTTCACAACAACATTGTCATGTAATTTACTTTGGAGAAAACATTTTAAAAAATGTAACAAATGTTTGAGGAGTAGAAGCTGGCTCCACTGTGAAATGACACAGTAGTTATCTCTGGCCCGATTCTGATCAAATACAATTTTGTAATATATAGACTATGTCCCAAAGGGATTAAAAACACCCACCATTCTGTAAGGACAAACATGTTCTCCTCTACACGTTTGCATAGTACACCAGCGTATTCATGAAGCTCTACATTTATTCTAGCTCTTTCAACAGTGTGGCGCTCCAAATTTGGAGTTATTAACAGTATCTCTTTAATTGTTTACCCTCTTTCTTCTCTGTTCTGTTTGAATATGCATGCAGCGGAGAAATGAGAACTTCAACTCCCAAGGATATATGCTGCGTGAACTTGGATAAAAACAGAACTGTCTGAAACTGGAGGAGTTTCATCGCCGGGTTAACCTTGTTTTCAGCCTTGATCTCAGTAGAACAGATTTAAAAGGCGGTAAAAGTTTTAACAATTTCTTTTTACTCATCCTTTCACCTTTACTGATGTAACATTATTCCACTTGCAGTACATTTGATTACTGGAATTGACTGTCGCTTTGTACATATTTTAGAAACATTTACATAACCACATTAATTTTAGGAAAATAAGTCGTTGAAGTATATCTGACTGAATCGCTGATGTTGTCTCCCTCCAAAACACGATGTGACTGATATGAACTGCCTTTGCGGCTTTTCAGATCCTTCCAACATCAATTTGCATTCCAGCCTTGGTGCAGTGTTTGAATAGCATAGTTATGCAAGAGGGTGGTGGTTCACATGAAGGTAGAAAAAAGATTTTTGTACTTTCTTGTGCTGTGAGAACATGCAGTTGTGAGAAATAACAGACGGACTAAAGTAGCTCAGAGTTTGCTGGTGTTCTATTGGCAGTGAATAAAAATCCCCCACAAAACAAGGAAATACTTTGTGTGGGGGGAAAGTAGATAAATTATTCATCACATCTTCTGGGTTTTAGAAGTACCTTTTATGTAAAAGTATTTTTCTAAAAAAACCTACATATCAGATGTATGGGCCTGATTCTGTTGTATTCATTCACTGAACAGCATGGGATCAGAGCAAACATTGCTCTATAGGTATCAGTGAACTACTCTGAGGAGTTATTCCACTTTGCTTTTAAACACGAATCATACATGCTATATGATCTGGTCTCTTTGCTCACTTTGAATAGAGCATCACAGACCCAAGGTACAAGATGACATTTAGCTCAGAGAACTTGCAGAGCCCAGACTGAGAACAAATTTACATGAAGAAATAAGTGGATAGCACTGAAATAAATAGGCAAAGATTATCACAAACCCCTATACTCCTACAGCAAGGGCACATTTAGAGATACAAGAAAAACGTGTGGTCTGGGCAACCAAACCTCCATGAGTCTCTAATTACCACGACGTGTTCTGTTGATGGTTCTGCTGAACTCTCAAGATAATTATTAAGGTGTAATGCAGTAGCTCTAATGATACGACTACAAAAGTTACCAGCCTTTGGCCTGGTAATTTTGCCTGGAGAGAAATGCACTTATTTACTTACTCCCCAATATGGTGTTAATTAGATATCACATTCCTTTTCTAGAAGTCCAATATCAAAATCCCCTCTTTGAAAAAGTCATGTTCAACTAGCTGTCACTGTTCAGGTATTTAACAGTGGAATGAGATTCTATGGTACCAATAAATAAACTAAAAATCATAAAAGTTTTGAAAAAACAGTCATTGACTGTTTTCAGCTGATAAAGGCTAAGTCGGTACGACCAGAATGAGGAAAATATTGACAGTGATGCGTATGTGCATTGATTTTTTAAAAATATCCTAAAAAAGACTCACCTTCCTCTATTTTCTATCTCTGGTTTCTGAGGTTGCGCAAGATAAGCAACCACTCATACTCACAAGCACACCTAAGGTCAGTAGGTTATAGAATTACCAACTAATGCTGTTTTTTGCACTGTAGCAGGAAACTGTAGCAGGAAACTGGATCACTCACCGTTTTTACACGCGGACAAGAAGAACATGCAAACGCTACACAGAAAGCCCCCCTGCAGAGATTGTGAGTTCTGGCCAACTGAACAGTGATACAGGTTTGCAATTACCAAGGTTGTGGTTGCCATACACTGACGATATAATTAGGTTACACAGAAAAATCTCTTTTATCTCTCGTAGCTTTTATGCTGATATGTTTTTCTTGCTTCCAGCAATCCCGACACAATTTTAGTGATGAAGCCAATTAATAAATGATCAATCTTGTCCCACGGCTGAGTGAAATCTATTAACTAATGTGTCTCCTATCTAGTTTCAAAATCAATTTAGCAAATAGAAGCACTGAAGGCCTTTCTGTACTGTCCTGTCTTTCAGAGCAACGTCTCTCTTGCTCACCTCTAACCATTTTTAATCCCGCCTGGTCTTTTGAAGATAACTGCACCTTAAAGGAACTGAATAAATCTATCAATTTGCATCAAAGGCCAATGTCCAAGACATTTTGAATACTTTGTCTGTCAATAACTGGTGGAAATTCAGACATTTCGAATCATAATTATCTCCCGTGTCTTTGTTCTGCTGGCAAATGTGCCTGGAATCCATCAAAGGCATGTTAATCATGCGGTGTGTGAAGATGCCGGGAGACCAATTACACTCCTGAGCTGCACTTCAGCTTTTTTTCATTTCCATGAATCCCGCTGCTCAAACCTGGTTTTCACCCTGATTTCATTCCCATGAAATGGTTGACCTTGACAAATGGCAGAATTCAGACAGGAAGTGGCAACACGGATGCTCGGGGTAGAAGTACTTCAACTCCTCTGCTGTTGCGACTCGATGTATGAGCACGAATGAGATGTATTTTTCATAAACAGAGGACAGAGCAGCTTTGTTGCCAAAGGCTCATATGAATGCGTCTGTAATTTGAATTTGCAAATCATTCTTGAAGTCGAATGGAAGCTTTCCGTCATGTATTCAATGATTTAACTTGGTCTTTTTTATTAGCTCTGCTTTAAGGTCAGGGCGCACAATTTGGCCTCAGAATGTGAACGGCGCACATTCTCCTTGCCTTTCACTTGGTTATTCATCCAGTGCCATAACTCTTTCAGCTCACAGAAAAGAGAATCAAATAAGTTGTCTTTTATCTTGAGAACAGATGCTGGTTAAGCAATGGTCGCTCTATCTTTCCAGCTGTTTCTAATTTTTGCTGTGGGGTGGACTGCAGAGTAGAAGAATCTGTCACAAGTGGAAGACGCGTCCCAGTCGGCCTTCCAGAAGCAGCGGTCTCATCCTCATCATCAACCGTTCATCCATCTGCTTTGAGATCGATACGCTCCCAGATGTTGAGGAGGGGGAGGAAGAAAAGCCCCGCCGTGCCCCTCACACCCCACCAGTCAGCAAGGCCCGCCTTTCGTAAGCTGGCACGACATTCTGCTCACACCAGGACAAACTTGATTTGACCAGAGGGAGGCTCCAGTGATTGATGATTCCACCATGTATCTTCAGCTATAGCAATCTGGCCTGGCACCACCAAGCACTGCGCCTTTTTTATGGGTGTGCATGTGACGGGTATTTGGATATATGAAGCTGAATATTTTTGAGACTGGAAAGTGGAGATAAAATGTAACAAATGTGTCTCAGTATATATGCAATTAAAAACTGACCTTTGCATTCCTTCAAAGAGGGCATGACTTTGATATTAATTTCAGGCTTTTCATTAAAATGTGTTTGAGCTGTTTCTTTTTGCAGTGAGGAATGATAATGCAAAACTTAAAAATCATCACTCACTATTAATATTACTTCACTTCTTAATATGAGAAAGTTGAATACATTTAGGCCAGATGCCATTCACATATTTGTTCATATTGAACAAATATGTATGCTTACAAACAGGTCAGGAAAAACCCACCCAATCAGAAGCAGATCAGGCAAAAAACCAAAAAAAGAAAGAACTATGACACATTTTATGTGTCACTGAAAATGACACATAAAATTTCATTTTAGGCTGATTGTCTCATCTGTTACCAATTGCTAGATTTTTGTTTCTGGCCTCTGCTGACAAAGGCATCTGCCCTAAAAGTGGTCACCTTGTTTATACTAAAATTATTATTATCAAATTTACGATTCTCTCCTGTATTGTGAACCCATCAGACTCTGGAGATGTGCAGTCTGACCATTCTCTTTAAAATGAAGATACAACATGTGACATGAATTATCTTTAGGAACAATAATTTTGAGTAAAAGTTGGAATGGGTTTTTTTTTTCCGACTCATAAGGGGTCCAGCTCAAATAGATCTACTTCCATCCAATTTAGAAGAAAATTGTTTTTCAATACAGGCTTATTTTCATTGGTTGGTATCAAGGCACAGACATAATAAGCGAATGCTTCCAGCTTTTTGATCAAAAACAAAAAGTAGAAGAAATACATTTTGCTGAATGATAAATAAGAATTTTTAAGCCCGTAAATGATTAAATTTCAGTCGATTTATTAGCCACTTAAGCGCTGCTAGTAGTCGCCAGTTCATCACAGATGAGAATTGTCTCCAGATTTCTCCTAGTCCTTCATTCTCTCTTTTGTCTGAACATGATGACAATGTGGGTATGACACGCAATAATCCCCAAAAAAACATCAGAACTGGTTAGCATGGTGACAATAAGCTTCTGCAAAGCCCTGAGTGTGACAATAAAACAACTACAAACTGTGTTTAAAAGCCTGATTTATGCCACAAAACCAGACAACTTAAGTAAAAAAAAATAAGTTTACCCTTCTTTACAAGAAGGGTAAACCCAACAAAAACCACTTAACTGCAAGCAGGCAGCAGCCAAGCTAAGCTTAGGCACAATCTTGCACATCTAATTAAAATGAAAATAAACTCTATGTCAATGTTGCCAAGAGTTGTCAAATATTCAGCCAGAAGTATAAATAGATAGATATTCAGTCAGATGTGTAGATAGATCTGACTAGACTTGTATGCTGAAGGCATCGATTCAAAGAGTTGCAAGAGCTCAGATCCTTTGCTTGCTGTTTGTGGTCCAACCAGCTCCATTCCCACTCTGTCAAGGCTTTTTTAAAGAAAGCTGTAAATGTCTGTGGGTTCCCCTCACACTCACAGCTTTCTTCTGTAGTGGCAGTAATCGGAGCTAAGACGTGTCTTCCGCGCCTCAACATTGGCGCCAAAAGCTGTCCACATAGCTTTTACTTCTGCGTACTTCATCTTTTCTTTCCCTTCCTTTAAATGTCATCTCTCATCATATTCATGTCCCGTTGTGTTCCCAAGGCTACCAAACATCTATGCACCAGTGTACTGTCACTAATTTAATCCAGTGTGGGTCAGTTCCTACTCTTTAAGGTGGTGTAGGATTACAGTTTAGGAAAAGTGGGAGGTTTGTTTGTTGAATCTTAAGTGCTAAAAAATATAAAAAATAAAATAAAAAAATAAAAAGGGTGAGGGCAGATTTTGGTGAGGGTTTTAACGTAGGCTCTAAGTCTGGGGAGGGTCACATGAAGGCAGGTCGAGGACAAATGCACCAATTTATTTTGGTAAGCAGTCAGAAAAATGAAAAAAGACAACAAATAGCCTAGAGGTAGACAGACTTCATGTTGAAAAAATGGATAGGAAGTTGATTCTGAAACTAACCTTAGGGGATTTGATGGAAAAATATAATATATACTCAGCTTGACAAATCCAACTTTTTTGGTATACAACCTTTTCCTTTTTGCATCATTTTTCATATTTTGCTTGGCTTTTTAGAACCGAACGCCTTCTACCTTGCATTGCTTGGATGCTGCTTTTTATCTCTCCATTCAGAGACTTCAAGTGGAACACACACACACACCAGCCATAATGACATAAATGGCATGTAATGATGATGATATGGAGCTGGAGGGGAAAATAAATCACTGATGTAATGTTTCTGGCGCATGGGAAGCCAATACAAGGAGCTCCATCTGCTGTTAGGCTTCGAGAACTTCACGCTGTTCGACCTGAAGAGAGCTCTGGCTGACGCACTTCACCTCGTCCCGTTGGACGAAGAGGGACAAGCAGAGGCTGTTGAGGCAGCGTAATATGTGTCCATGAATTATGGACACGTGAAGCCAGTGAAGGCCAGCGCGTTTTATATCATCACACCTCCTTCTGTTTATTTTAGCCGGGGTTATGACTTAATAGTTTTTCAGTCCCATTGATGATGGACCTCCTGATTTATTGGCCCGGGACAGGCAGGACAATCAATTAAGGCACTTTGTCAGGATGGACATGTCAAATGCAAGCGTCACCTGTGATTAATGGTCGACTGGATGTGCTCTCGCCACCTCGGCAGAAACGACCGTTCTCCGTTCTGCTCCTCTGCGATTACTCCGAGGCATGAAGCTGTAAAAAAGAAAGTGCGCCATCCAGTCACAATTTCCGCTCTATCTGGTCCTCAAGCTTCTTTGTAGAAATTGACGGCTTCTTTTATCTGATAATCAGAATTACAATAACTGTAAAGTAGGACGAGTCCCTGAATGTCGCATTGTTTTATAACCCGCTTTTATAACCTCATAGAAGGGAACATGTAATTTCTCACAGATAGACTGAGATGTATATACTATCTGTTCCCCTGGAAGCTATCGGTAGCGATTTAGCTCCTCTTTCATCATTCTAAATGTGCCTAAATGGTTTTGGAGGGAGGGGCTGAGCAGCAATAACCACTACTTTGACTCAGGAAAGGTGGAAGATCTGTAATCTTTGATGACTTCACTGGCTGGAAATTTATTTACAAATACCTCAGTGGAAGTCAATAAAAGGTTTAATATTTAATTAGGCCTAAGGGCATCTCATAATAACAGGCACAGGCCTGATCAATGCTGTGATACAGAATCCTTCCTTTCTTTTTGTCAGTCTGCAGAAACACAAAAGGTCTGAATCTTCTCTTTTTAATGTCACCATATGCAGATGTTTTACGAGTATCTCAAAGATAATGCATTCAAATAAAGACAGATTGGGAGATTTTGCTTTGGTAGAATAAAAAAAATACTTTGAAAATAATCTAATCCAGTCAAAGTAATTGAAATGTACTTGGACTCAAAGTCCTTGAGTTAACTTTGTCAAAGAGGTGAGGACATTTCTCTCCAAGTGAAGTCAACAAAGGACTTGAATGTGATGGTCAGTTGCAGCCATCACATTGGAGTTTAGTTTGTCCAAAAATAAAACAAAATCACTCTCCATTTGCCCAGATTTCTAACTAAACACACATTAGGACTGACATGTTCATCTTAACCAGAAGCCTTATAGGAAATATCTTTTCTGACAATAACCATGGGTCCCTATTTCACTGTTGCCAGGTTCCAAATGCATTGGGCTCCATCTTCCTGTGGAAATTATTTTTTTTATGTGCAGTTTAAAACAGAGATTCAGCTTCAATAGCATGATGCAGCTGCAGTCCTGTTTTGTTCTTCGAATGAGAGTGATGTGTCCTTATCTGAGGCAGAAAGTGGTCGACTTTCTCAACAAGCTGGGCTGGCACTCAGAGCCTCTCCATCTCTCTGAGGTTTTAAACAAGGTTTCTTCAGCCAGTTGCCAGTGTTGTGCCAAGAACTGAAGACCCAGCAGTTTAAGTTGCAGTCCGAGCACTAATGTTTTTACAGCTTGCTTACAGGCTGAGGACAGAACATTTCTAAATGTCTGCTTTTCTGCTATTTCTTCTACTAAGTAAAACACATAATACAGAAACTGGTCTGTTTACATTATTTGAAGTAACTTGCTTTCTTTATTTTATTCCTCCTTTTTAGTTGTATTTTGGTAGCAGTTTTTCCTTTATAATTTATCTTCAGTTACTTCTTGTTTCAAGACATCACCTGATTTCTCACAGATAGACTGAGATGCAGGATAATCACACTCCTGCAGCTAATTGCCAATTATCTCAATGTGTGTCTTCGTATAGGTGAATCTTTCTTTCTCCTTTTTGTTAGATCTTATTTCTAACCTATTTTTGGACAGTTAAAAGCAAGTCTTATTTTGATACTAAAGAAACCTCTTCATTGCCTAAGCCTAAGTCATTCAAAGCAAACCCTATTTTACAGGCTACTAAAGTGTAAAATTAATGGAAAATATAGAAAAAAAGCTTTTTAAAAAACACTTCACACAATACAAATACAAACAATGTAATCATTAACAAACAAGTGAATGTAATTTGTTCAGCTTCACTCATTCTCATGACTGTTACAAAAAATGTCATCAAAATAAAAAATGAAAATATGTAGAAGATAAAATATAGTCAGTAAAACACTGCCAAGAACTCAGCCACATATTGCTGAAGAGTGATAGTGATACTTTCTGAAAAGATTGGGCCACCATACATAAAAGAGTGTTCCCTGGGTTCAGCTTGTTGCCTCCGTTAAATATCATGTTTCATCAGAACGCCTGTATTGGGTGAGTTATCAGAAATCCATAATCTTCAGGTGTTTACATCTGCGTAGAGCGCCCATATTTCTTTTCTGTTCAAAGATTGCTTTGTTTTTTTTGGTAAATCAAATGGCAGTCACACATCCAATTGACCTAATCCTATTAAAAAGATGTACAGCAATGGCATAATGGTGCTCACTTCCATATTTTAAGAGAGCAGAGGCTGCAAAAGTGTTCTTACTGACATGCTCTCAAAAACAAAATAGGAC